CACCCCTCGACTGGCTCCTCACTGACCGGGGACCCTTCTACCGAGCCCAGGAGTACGTGGACTTCATGGAGCGTTACCGGCAGGGTTTTACCACCAGGTACAGGATCTACAGGTGAGAGGCTATGGGTGCCGCAGCAGGGAGATACGGGGTGGGAGGCTGTAGGGGCCATGACAGAGCAGGGGCCATGGTAGAGTGGAAACAGACCTGCTTTTATCTGCCTGAGTGGACACCTGTGTGTTAGAGAAGGCTGTCCATGAGGAGAGATGGCAGGTGGTGTATGTGAGATGTTGCTTCCCAGGGAATATAATAGCAGCCCCAAAAGATGCTTATGGCATAGCTGGGATGGGATCCAGGCAGGATTTGCCCTGAGCCAGGAGTGATTTGGTATGCAAGTTGAGATGGAATCAGTCCTTCTGGTGGAAGGCACAGGGGGATGCTGCTTTGGCCTTTTACCTTGCACAAAGACTTCTCCATGCTGAATTACTGAGCCTGCCTGGACTGCCAACCCTCTGGGGCTGAGATGCTGCTGGGGCTCACAAAAAGCCACACTGACCAACCCCCTGGCATGTCCCCAGTGCTGTCACCCCACAGACACGGCAGTGGGATGCTGCATGCATGGGGGCCAGTGCTGGAGGAGTTTCTTGCTGATGGAGAACCAGGCTGGGCAGTGGTAGCACTCACTGACCCCAGCAAAGGGCCACCCACTACCTCCTGGCATTAACTGGGGCTGTTGCTTCCTGCTAACGAGGTCTTTTCCCTTCCTCTTCTCGCTGGTACCAAGCCCCGGGGGTTTCCAGCAGTGGAGCAAAGCCTGGCTGCTGCCACCCCAGGGAGCTGACGTGGGTGCCTTGTTATGCAGCCCAGCACCCCCAGAGAGCTCCTCTCCCCCCTCCTTTTACTGATGCTGCCCTGCGGAGGGATCCCACCCTCTGGGGATGCTGCTGGTGACAGTGGTGGGACAGGAAGAAGCAGCTGGAGGGACAGCAGCCAGCTTGAGCCTCCTCTGAGGCGGAGAGCCTGCCAGCAGCCTTCAGGGCTTGCTGTGACTGCGGGATAGGGTGAGGGTACTCACCTTCTGGCCCCCCCATGCATCCACGGAGCGTGCGTGCAAAGCAAGAGGCAGCATCCTCCTCTCCCTCACCCCCAGCTTCACTCCTGGCCTCGACATCCCACTTTCTGTGCCCAAAAATCATGACAGGAGGCCATCTAGCACCCGCCAAGCCCCTCGGCTGCTTTGCACCTATCCAGCCCCTCCTCCCTCTCCCTCCTTTACTAACCAGCCCTAATTAAACTGTCTGAAAGCCGCTGCCTGGTTTTAATTAGAGCAAAATGCAAAGATTAGACTGAAATCAGCTGCTGGTTGTTTATGGGGTGGTTGGTGGTTCAAGGCAGTGGCAGGAGGGGCTGGGTGATGCTGGGGGGCCAGTGGGGCACATTCACAGCCTCCTGGGCTACAAAAGGACCCACCACATCCCAACACCAACCCCTATCCTACAAAACGCTGCCCATACTTAAAACCATGAAACCCCCAGATGCTGGATTTTCACCAGGATCAGTAGGCACGGGGATGGAGGAGAAAAAGGCTCTGGCCCTGCCCTGGGCTGTGATTAATGCCACCCAGAGGTGTCTGATTAATCTATATCAGGCATCTCCGTTGCTTGTAACTTATTATTGCCATTGATGCCTTACAGAGGGACAACGCTTTCGTGCTGGCTGGATCTAAAGCACGCATAGTGGGTCCTTCACTTCCACCACAGCGATGGGGAGGTTGGGATGGTCCTAATCTGAGTTTTTCCACCTTCTGTTCCTCTGCTGGGAGGTAGACAGCAGGGGTGACAGTGTGCATACAGTATGGCTGGGCCAGCTTTGAACTCTCTCCTCACAATCACTCTCCTCCCACAGAGAGTTTGCTCGTTGGAAGGTGAATAATTTGGCCTTGGAGAGAAAAGACTTCTTCAGCCTGCCGCTTCCCCTGGCCCCCGAATTCATCCGCAACATCCGTCTGCTGGGACGCCGACCCAGTCCCCAGCAGATCACCGACAGCCTCATCAAAAAGTATGGGACCCACTTCTTGCTCGCTGCCACGCTGGGAGGTGAGTGCTGGTGGGTGCTCACTCCCCTTGCACAAGGCAGTGTGCAAGAGAGTAAGGGGGGTGGGAAACAAGCACCACAGGAGAAGTATGGCCAAGAAAGGGAATGGGGCGGGAGCCCAGCAGCCCCTCAAAAGCACTGCGTGTCCCCCCAGGAGAGGAGTCCCTGACCATTTTTGTGGACAAGCGCAAGCTGAGCCGGAGGACAGAGCCTGCTGGGGGTGCTGGGAACAGCTCTGGGATCTCGCTGGAGACTCTGCATCAGCTGGCAGCCTCCTACTTCATTGACCGGGAGAGTACGCTGCGCCGGCTCCACCACATCCAGATCGCCACGGCTGCCATCAAGGTAGGTGAGGGTGCAGGGAAGAGAGCAGTGTGGGGAGGCAGGGGCCCCGGGCCTCACCAGTGGCCCCTCAAAGCTGGCTGAGACCTGAAAGCAGCATCACACCCTGGGGAGGGGAGCTGGAGGGGGAGAGTACGCAAAGTTAGCACATCCACGTTATTTATGGGAAATTGGGCACGCTAATGAAGGCACATTTTTCAGCGGGCCGCAGGCAGGGCTGCCGCCTGTCAACAACCCAATTAGCAGGCAATTAGTTCTCCTCTCCAAGCATTGCTCTGCTACGGGGAGTAGGGCACTGCAAGCCTGGCCAGGGGCTATCTGCAGCACTTGGGGTGGGGTGGCACGCACCCTGGGTCCCCTCCTCTGTCCCTGACCACCTGCGGGTTCCACCTTAGGTGACTGAAACACGGACAGGGCCACTTGGCTGCAGCAACTACGACAACCTGGACTCGGTGAGCTCCGTCCTGGTGCAAAGCCCCGAGAACAAAGTGCAGCTCCAAGGTAGGAACAGGCTTGTAGGAAGGTGGTGACGGACGAGTGCCACCATGGGATGCTCATGGGTAAGCAGGGGAGGATGCTGGCTTGAGACACTGCTTTTAATTTAGGGGCTGGGGAAGAGGGGAGATGAAAATAATCAAAGTCGGGCAGGATGAGGTTGTTGCTCATCTGCCAAGAGGAACCAAGATCGATGCAGAGCCCAGACAAGCGGCTCCACAGCAAATTGATATGAAAATCATGTGAGGGTGGGAGCCCGGGGAGGGTGAAGGCTTGCTTCTTCCTCACCTAGGTGGTGGTTTTGAGGGGATCAGTGCATGCCCTGATGCTCTAGGGGTTACCTCCTGCTTGCAGGTCTGCAGACAGTGCTCCCCTCCTACCTGCGGGAGAGGTTTGTGGCAGCTGCCCTCAGCTACATCGCCTGCAGCTCGGCCGGGGAGC